AAAAAGGTACAACTTCAAAAAGGTAGATACCATCACACCCAAAACTCTCATGCAAGTTCACAGAAAGGATCGGCGCTGGGATCGAAGTGACCGAACTTAATCTCGCAACTTCAATACTTTGTTCTGAGGAAGAAGCACCTTTGCTTGAAGGGTATCCAACAGAAAACAAGAATTCCAAGTGATGCGATGGATCTAGGAATGACTTCTCTGTTCACAATCCACCTCAAGTTCTCTAAGGTCCACAATACAGTCCAAAAGACTGTTCTCAAAGTAAAAGGTCATCTAAGTATCCTATAATCAGAATATCCTTGAGACTAAAAAGTCCCAGAATGGGGAAACACAGGAAGGTGTAGACACCCAACTTTTATGTCTATGGAAACAAGAAAATCTCCTGGACAAAGAGAGGTGACAAGTGACTGAATGGCTTCCATCTGGAATTTATGAAGACTTACAAACCCATTAAGCTCTTTGAGATGAATCCAGAATCAGACAAAGAGCTTCACTGGGTATGGGAACAGTAATCATGTTTGAGTACAAACATTAAAAATGTTCTGTCAAAGGAACAGGAATAATACCCGGATCCAGCAGACTGAAATGCACAAAAAGTCTGATGTTGCCGAGACACAAAGAAACCGAGGAGGAAGATGAAATTATTTTGTAATCAGTGGAAACCACCTCTCTGACCCAAGCATATGAAACTTGATCTTCCCACGTCTCTGCAAAATCATCAGATCCCCCCCCCCAAGATATGGAAAAGGTGAAGTGAAGGCAGAAGTTCATGCTGAGTTGGACTTTTCAGATGGCTTGGATGTCTTTGATAGCCAAGGGCGTCTAGAGCAGTGGTTCTCAACTCGTGGGTCGCGACCCAAAAGTGGGTCGCGACACCCTCTGCAGTGGGTCGCGGCGTCATGTCTGCATAGACCGGCCCATCTGCATTAGAGAGAACTAGAGGGGGAATTTGTGGAGTCTAGAGGATCCGAATGACTTGGGATTGTCAGACGTCTTGAGACTGTAAACAAAAAACCCTGTTTGGAAGAACAAAAGGAATGTTTAAAGAGTGGAAAGGAAGGAGCAGACTTACGGCGCTGGTCTTTATTTTTCCACATCTGAGGTAAGTGTTGACTTTAACCTCATGTGGCTTTTTTAATAATCTCATCCAGTGAATCCCCAAATAGTCAATTTTCCACACATGGTAAACACAACAGTCCCTTTTTACATTTGGGTTCCACCAACCAGCATTTAAACCAGATAGCCCTGCAAATCTGAACAGAAGACACAGGCACTCGAGACGACGAGCATGAAGAACCGCATCACATTTGAAATGAGAAGCGACAATCATCGGATCAACACAATCAATAACATTTTGTTAGTAGGATCCTTAGATGAAGGGACGTCATCAATAGGAAGAGTCTACGCCTTGTTATGACGAGAAATTGAGAGGATCAACTTCAGGAGGAATAGACAATCATCCAGAAACAAATACAGCGACTTAAATTGTCTAGGAACCAAAAAATGGATCTGGACATTCCCAATCTTTACATAGAAACCGATCAAATATAGGAAGTAGAGGAAAAAAAATTAAAAAGGCAACCACGTCTTTCTGATGCTGAGAAATCGCAAATGACTGAAAATCAGCCTGAACCGTCTCGTCCTCATCAGAAGAAACCAACTCACCACCAGACATAGAACCACCCAGAACAGTAGCAGCAGTCCCGGAAATATCAGGCATGTCATCCTCACAATCCACAGGCGAAGGAGAAATGCAAAGTGTTTGTTACCCTTCTGTACAGGGACCGATAGTCTCTCCAAATGAGAAAAGTTTCCACAGTAGAAGAAAATGGAACTTTGGTAATATAAGAGGCTCGGCAAGACAGAAGATGCCGTATTAGAAACTGACACAGTGTTAGTATTGTTCTGCTATACAACCTTGCCAGAGGGAATCTCAGCTTTAGATGTATCACAATGAAGAGGTAAAGAGTCAGCAGACGCCACGGTGCATTGTTTTAGATTGTAAGCTCTCAGGGGCAGGGCCCTCCTTATCAAGTGACTGGGTGCATCTGAGGTGTAATGTAACCCAAGCTGTCCGAGTTATGTTTACATTCTCCTTATACAGCTATAATGGGCAAGAAGTAGCACACATGCCAATATAAAGATACTGTATATCTCACCTCCTCTCCAGTTGTTGATCCAGCACTACTCTGTACATCTTGTATCACTGTCCCTTCATCCATCGGGTCTTCTTCCATCAGGCTGAGACTGTGGAATCCCCCCAAAAAACAAAAGAATTTTCGCAATGAGCTTCATCAGGATCAAGGGCAGCTGGGACCATCAACCTACTTATCTCAACTCTTTAGCAACATATATAAATGGCCTTTGCAGCAGTGTAAAATCCAAAACAAATGGCAGCAAAAACTGCCCTGCACCCCCCAAAAAACCAAAACCCCCCCCCCCCCCCCCCCCCCCCCATATGGGTGAAGCTGTGCAGTTATTGCCTCCCAATTTTGCTTGAAACATAATAGTAAAAAGTGATGCAATATTCTAATGGACGCCTCTGTAATAGCAGTGACACTGTCAGAACCATACATCTGAAACCAGACAGACACAGTTTGGTGCCCTCTTCCCTGCAGCCCCTCCATGCTGGGAAGTTCTTCACCCTCTATATGCAGCAACCCCTATATATATATAAAATTCCATAAAGCAAATCATTGCCCTTGATCCTGATGAAGCTCATTGCTTCATTATCCCCATTATACTATTGAAGTCAATTAAACCATCATGGACCCAGGAGGGTGTACTTTAAAAAAAAAAAATGAAATCATGTATTTGGTAAAGTAATATGTGATCTATGGCCAACAGGGGAGTTTATATGTAGTGTGCCAATATGATATTGAAACACTCTTATGGTCATTGGCTTTGATACCAGAATACAATAAAATAAGATTTTGTTATTACCATAAAATCCTTTTTTTTGAGTCCATTGAGGGACACAGATCTGAAGAGTTCCGAGATGTAGGGTTATGCTGCTGCCTCCAGGAGAAATGGACACTAGGCAAAAAATGTAAAAGCCTGCCAACTTTAAGGACATAACCGCTCACACATGCCAGCTGTAGCAAGCAGTACGAAAGTTAGTGAGGGGAGGGAGCTGTGTCCCTTAACCTCCCTGGCGGTATTCCCGAGTGTGGCTCGGGTTAACTTTCATTACCAAAAGCGGTAACCCCGAGCCACACTCAGGGTTACTTACCTTGTCCACGATCCCCGCTGTGTCCTCCGGCCGATGCCAGCATCGGTCTTCTGTCCCTTGTGAGCGTCCGCGTCGCAGGGGGGTGGAACCGGCGGGAAATTGAAAAGTAAAAAAAAAAAAATGAAATAATCGGACCGCCAGATAAGTTAATTGACTCTTTTTTATGTAAGATCGCCCATTGAGGGACACAGCTCTAAAGAATTCTGAGACGAAGGGACGTTGAAAAGCAGTCCCAAACAGAGGTGCGGGCACCATAAAAACTAGAAGAACCAGCTCAAATACTAAAACAGCCACCTGAAGAACTTTTCTGCCAAAAACTATTATCAGAAGTGGCACACGATAGCGACTTTATAAAACTTTGCAAAAGAGTGAACAGAAGGCCAAGCTGCGGCTTTGCAATTTGACTAAGGCCTTGTTCACACCAAATGCAGAGCAGATCCGGTCAGGTTTCTGCACACGCAGTGCAGTGGGTTGTGCCGAGTTTTTGATGCGTTCCGGGCCGGTTTTGGTAAAAAAAAAAAATTAACATGGGCTTTCAGGCACTTGCATGCGTTTTTGATGTGTTCCAGAGCAGGTAAAATAGGGCTTGCCGCAGTTTTTTCACCTGCTCTGGATCTGGTCTGGATCTGCACGCTGCGATGTGAACTGGAGCTCAAAATACCATAGGAATACATTGGACGCAGTTTTGATCTGGTCTGCACCTGCTCTGGATCTGTTCCGCGCTTGGTGTGAACAAGGCCTAAGGCTCTGTTCACACCTAGGCGTATTGAATATGCGATTCGCGGTAAAAAAACGTGCGACAAACGTGCGTTTCCGAGGGCTACTTGGCTGTATCCCAATGGAAACACGCGACAGAAACGCCGCAAAGAAGCTCATGTACCTTTTCAGGCGCAGGCCGTTTTGTAGCGCGTTCAGACGGGCTGAAATACGGCAAGGTGTGAACCATACCCATAGAAAACAATGGGATTTTCATGTTTGAGCGTTTTGTAGAGCGTTCGTAGAGCGTTGAACGCGCTACAAAA